TGTGTGTGTGTGTGTGTGTGTGTGTGTGTGTGTGTGTGTCGATGTGTGTGAACACATATTGCGAGTTCCTCAGTACATAACGCATATGTACACCAAACCATCGTCACAACACAGGATAAACTCCAGGAAGACTCATCTCATTCTTCCCTTATACCAGATTTAACGTAGCCACACAAGATGCAAAGACAACCTCCTCCTACCTCTCCATTTCCTATAGGTTGTGATGAGTGTGAAGGGATAAGGGGAGGATAAAAAAGAGACAGAGGGGAGGACGAGGAGAAAGAGGGCTAAGAAGAAGAAGGAGAGAGAGGAGAAGAAGAAGAGGAAGAAGACGAAGAAAAAGAAGAAGAAGAGGAAGAAGAAGAAGAAGAAGACGTTGAAGGGGACGAAGACAGTGACGTGGACACAACAGAAGAAGCCTACGATTATGACGATGATGACGAAAAAGGGAAGGAAGAAGAGGTGGAGATGAAACATGAGAGCTTTCTCGAGATCAGGAGGTTCGCAAGTAAATACAACATTCTGCGCATGCCAATCATCATTGATAACTTCCTTGGAAATGCTACACTAATCACGCACATTATCAGAACATACATCACGAAAAAGAACTCCCGAGCTTTTCGGGGAGGAAGCCTACGAGGAAGAAGTCAATCATGAGAATACTAACGAAGAGTAGAGGAAGCAAGATCGCGCGTCACACAAAATTAAGACACATGAAGGATGAACTCATAAACTTCCTCATCATGATTCAAGACACTCATGTCCCTGCCGAAAGCAATCCAACACATCACGGAAGAGTTCCAATAGCACCCCATTCCAGCACACGACGCGAAGAAAACTATATAGAACTTGTTACTCTTCCAAGCCCCACCGAGGATTCAAAGAACATAGGATTCTCAAACCTCAACCATCATCGAACCCATGTACCAATACTCCACCGGATCCGATAACTCTTGACTTATTCCAACTGGATTCTCATGACTTGCGTCTACATACGAATGTCGTAGCCCCCTATCATATCTCGCTCTAGGAAACTCTTCTCAATACACGAACCAAACGCAGCATAGAAGATCCCACTACCGTAGTTGCTACAAAAAAGGAGCATTCGGTGACCAAAGAATGCACAATACCCTACATCCACAAGTTGTGTCTATGTAGCCAGGGTCGACGTCGACCACATCGCCACTGTACATCCGAATATACACAGTAACCATGCCTGGACGTACGCCTACTCTTATCCATGAGTACAAGGAGCAGTCATGCTAAAGCACAGTTTCCTCCGCAACGTACCAATCATCATAGACCACGAGTCACGAAAAAAAACCCTCAATCCGTAGAGCCTTCCTACGGACACCATCGAATAACTGCACATTTTAACGACCAATTATCTCGTAAGCAGAATATCTCGACGTTCTCTCTATACACTTGTGGGTAGCTCAACCAATCCTATATACCCGAGTTTTACTCACACGTACCCGCTATCCCAGGACATAGATACTACCTCCCTCGTCTCCAGAGAATCCCCACCTATTGGGTCAGAGTTCAAGATGAGCTAAGAAACGAAACCGAGGAACCTAACAGCGGACTGCCCCCTACCAATCCCCCAGACCCCATATCCACATAGAGCAGATTGGATTACTAGGCGCAGCCCAAGACCCCATCATACAGTCTTTTGGTAGATGTATGCTCCATGTAACAATCATGCAGAATACGATCCACTTCAACCTGCTTGAGGTAGGAGATCTTCTCAGCAAAAAGCATAGCCTGACCACAAAAACGATCCCACAACAACTCCCTCGATCCCCACGACACACATCGCATTTACCCATCAAACAGATTCATTCAACAAGCAACATGCACGATCGTGATGAGAAATCACGAGGCACAAAATAGATCAAATATATATCTAGAGACTAATCAGCGGTTCCCATTCATCATTTTATTGAACTCATCATTGTACCACACAGAGGGTAGGTGAGAAAAAGTATAGTCAGATCCGACTAGGGTAGTGACAATCTTCCCTTAAACATGTTTTTCGCTAATCTTGCCACAAATTAGCTCGTCAGAGGTGTCCGACTCATGGACAGCACGGTATATGACCACACATCACCTAAAAAGACGTATGAGAACCTTTTTATAGTATAGATCGAAGTAAGACATAGGAGATTTTTCAAGGAGAGACCATGGGGGAGAGAGAGGGGTATATATACATAGGATTTGGACGAAGGAAGTATAGAAGAAGGGAGGGGGCGACGGTGGAAGGTCTAAGTAGCTGCGGCGATCACTTCACCTCCGGATTTGACACATGGTCGGCGACTCCATCCTCCTCCAGATGCAAATGAAGCATCTCTTCGAAACTGAGGGCAGCATCCATGACGTGGTCACAGGATCTTCCTTGGACCAAGTGCAAGCGTGAGCACAGGGGTAAGCTCAACGGAAACTCCTACAGGAAGTAGGGAATATGTGATCGTGATCCTCGCCGAAAGAGCAATGAAGATCCTTGGGACAGACGCAGAGAGGGAGGCGGAGACTTCACACGCGATAGTGGCAGATAGGGTAAATAACGCATGCTTCGAACGCGTCATAGCGATTCGGACTGTGCGCGTGTGAACATGGGAGTGACGAGCGCGACTACACCCGCGAGCATCCGCAAGGCGAGACACTCGTTGGCATAGGCGCGTTCGTCGTCCGTGAGAAAGAGGATTAGTGTTGGACTAATCCCTTGCTTTAAATAGGACATTTCCTAATGTTTTTTGCCGACGGGCCTAAGGGTCTGGGGTAATCATGTTGATTCCGGTACGATGCGCGGGCGCAAAACAATTTAGGAAGGGGTTGCCTCTAATTATAATCCAGACACCAGACCCACTATGGTTTTGTGCCGAGGTGAGCCTCCCACTCAGGGGGTTTCTTTTCAAATTTTTTATTAATAGGTCATATTAAACCTACGCCTACGGTTTACCGGGCAGTTTTATTTGACGATATATATATATATATATATATATATCGTCACAAATAGAACTGCCCGGTATATATATATAACCGCATATATATACATACCTACAAATGTATGTAGAAGTCTGGGTTCTGACCTCTTAGTCAAAGGTCACTTAAGATTGTATGTGTGTGTGTGTGTGTGTGTGTGTGTGTGTGTGTGTGTGTGTGTGTGTGTGTGTGTGTG